CCGGGGAAAGTGTTCAAAAAGCAATGCCCTCGGTGGGATGGGCGGGCACCCCGTTACTGTGCACGTCGGAACACCAACTTCGAGGTAGATTCAGATCGAGATGGGAGTTCTGTGGATGGACCCGAAAACAAGCTACCAGCATCTGCCGCCCCTTCCTCCAATTCGGTGATAGATTCTTTCCGTTGAAAAGCAAAATTTACTTATTGAAGCTTATGCAGTGTCCACAGAAAGTGGAACTTCACTTTCATCGCTGCATGCGAGGGATCCTCTGCCCAAAACAATGCGATGGTAGGCTGCCAGATGCACGAATGTTCCGGCTCCACTTCACCCTCTGACTGAAATTCGACACAACTGTATTACGAACTTGAGTGTCTTGCAAGCCACTGTTAGCACCCTTGTATTGAGATCTTGCGTCCGTTAATGAGAGCGTGTGGTTACTTTCGGGTAAACTAGAAAGTTCCTTTTAATTGTAGAGCTATTAATCGGTGAAATATTGTTACTGTTTGTAAGAGAGCGAGGCAGTGCAATGACTTGTACACACTTCTACTGAATCATCACTTGTGTTTTCTCCCTGATCAGAGCATTTCGAGGCTCTTGTTGAGTGTCGGGACAAGGTACCATGAGGAGCAGCGCCGTTGACTGTCGAGAAAGCTGTTACAGATTGTCAAGCTGTTTAGTTTCTGCTTTGCGAAAAGTCCTCACCAATCATTTGATACAACAACAGGGGAGTGTTTATTTATCAGACAAGAACCTAAGGTAACCAAAAATAAACGAGTAAATCAAATGCTGTTGAGCGGGTTTTGTGCTTTTGGGCTCTGAAGCTTGTAAGACTTAAGCTTACCGACTTGCAGAGGACTGCGCTTCCAGTGCAGGAGTAGATATTATGCTGTTAGAACTGTCGAAATTAAAGAATCAGAAATTTGGCAAAATTCCCGCAAAAAGGCGGTGGCAAGTCTGCAGGCTGCATGTGAAAATACGTGTATGTTGCCTTACTACCTTCGTAGAAATGAGAGTGGGCCACCAGCACTTACGACTTAATTCAACACGGAGACCGACTGATTCCTGGAAACTAAGAATGCTTGCTGTGCTTATCTCGAAGACATTCCGACCAACTGGAATATATGGTAACCGGCATTCGCCGCCCAGCCGCAATTGTTTTTAATCCGACGGTGGATTCAAGTGAAAACATTCAAATGCTCCGAGTAAATCTGAGTAAATTTGCTATGAAAAGAATGCACGATCAGGATCATGCTTGGATTGACAGGTTTTTGGACTGTTAACAATTTTTACTAGGTGATTTGTCTCTTCAATGAACTCCAATCCCAGTTCACGAAACTGAAACCTAGAGGTAATTGGGCGACCTTCTAGTTGGAAGAGCCTCTTGCCACTGATGAAGACGACCACTGGTGGCGCCAGTAGGATCGGGGGTGAAGATATTAATGTCGACAGCGACGTAAATCCAGAAAGCTCAACTATTTGATCACTATGGGACCCCGAAATTCTGGTCTTTCTCTCCATTTTCATTGCCTCTCCTGGATATGTCACGTCTTGATCTAAACGGTGTAGAGAGATACAATCACTTGGTAGGGATGGACGCAATCAAGCCATCTGCATACATGCCTATCACGCCATCTTCTTCAAACACTGAGCCTGCGCCAGTATATGCAAGTTGAGGCAGGAGTACAAAAACGTAGCAATGAAATGAAAAGGAAGTGAAGGATGTGAACAGTTGCGCTTGACTGCTCGAAAACATCAGGAGGACCAGTAAGTTGGTCTCCTGAGCTCTCTCAACTGGCAACCTTTTTACTACAGTGTCCGTCTTACGCCAGCCATGTTTGATAGATGCTGTGTGGAAAGAGCGTGAATGTTAAAAAAGAACTTAGCAAATCTACACAATTGTGAACAGATTGCACGAGTTTTTTTGCGTGACCTCGTGAACTGAAACCTTTGCAGCAACGCTCTCAATTGCTAGCAACGAACCATACATATTCAATTGCGTACCCACATTGAGCTCTGCTATTTTTTGGAATTCTTTACGGGATAAGAGTTTTGCTTGACCAACGTTGTAATACATCTGGGCTGCACACTGCGCTTCGTCATTGGGTTCCTTCATGGCATCCGATTGAATCTTAAGGAGATGCATCTTCTTACTGAAATCAAAAAAGAGAAAAAGAGAAGAAAGCATTAAGAAGAGGCTATGATGTGCCCACCGAAAAAGTGAGCGGACTCCTCCAAACCCTGCTTCCTTGGAACAAAGCAATTTTTCATGCACATCCTTCGAGACTGCGTACACCTCTTGCTATCAGCTCTTTATCTAGAAAAAAGGGAATCGGAACAGAATTCTTCCATCCTCCAGTTCGGTTCTGACTGCCCAACTTGTCCTACCTGCCAGTGATTTCCACACAATGCACAGCAACAACCAACAGTTCCTGACAACTGGCATTGCGCCTCCATGAGCACGTAACCTGGTTTTTCTCTCATTATAAAACAGCATTTTCAACATCCTGGTTTGACCTTCAAGAAGCTCAATTGTATATATTTTATCGTCTTCTCTGATTCTCTTGCCTCTATCCTTCTTCCTCTATGATTTCTAGTTGTCCTACAAAACATGACACTATCAATTTTGTTCACTGCTTGGTCTTCTGATTCAAAGTCCAGAGTCAACTTCTTTTGGAGCTGGGCTAACCAACTTCTTCAAAATGCATGTCAACCTCAGGCATTGAGAAATGTGCTTAACAATTGAAGAGGAGTTTAATTTTTTTCTTCTTACTTCTTTTTATCCTTTTGGTACTGTGTAGCAATGCTATAGCATTCATACTCATACACTTTCCTAGTTTTTGTAGGATGATGTGCTTTTTTCACATGAGTGCTCAGTGTTTCTACATGATTGTGGAATGAAAATTGAACTGTGGAGCTGATTGATGGGGGGCTCACAGGCCAGTAGTGTGAAGCAGTTCAACCTCTGCAAAGAATGTTCTATGATATCTCAAAATCACAGAGAAAGGATGGGACAATATTAAAATCAATCACATTACAGATGTGCTGAGGATGCTGCTGAGTTAGCTGCTTGGAGTGGGAGTTTGCATGCATTAGTCCCAACTCTCAATTCCCTGCTAGAGACATCCACATGGCCTGTCTTTATATGTCACAAGTCATGGGTCACCAATTAGCTATGAGCCCAAGTGGGGGTGGGGCTCACATCCCATCAGCAGCTCCCCCAGCATTCCAGAAAGTGGTCCTTGCCATCCTCTCTGCCAACTGATTTCTCCAAGGCTAAAAATATCCACTAAATAAAATATCTGACCGAAATGAAAAGAAAGAAAGAAAGAAGGAAGTGTCATAAATTAACAATAAACAGTAATATAATATCTTGACCATGAATGAATTGTGTACCATATAATTGCCAGCTCACAGGTGGTGTTTTTCTTGGGAAGACAATATAATATACAACTGTGAAGAAAAAGACAAAAGATTTGGCTAGCTGCTGATATGGATCCAACCATCCACACATTCATCCATTTGATATTTGCTAGTCCATTCAGAAGGTATATTTTCATCCACATTTAGTCTTCGTCTACCAATCTGCTTGGAGGCTTGTGGATGTCATGTTATTTTTTGTTAAAAATTTGAATATTTTTAAATATTTTTAAGTCATTGCATCAAAAGGTCCACATTTGACAAAGGCAGTTGCACTCTCCATGGGTGGATCCTATCCTAAATTGCCCATGCAGTTGGCAGATGATTCATCCACATCTTTGCCACACAAGGATAATAAACATTGTCACCATCTATATATGGGGGTTTTCTGTCTAGTCCACGTCAGCATGATGCTTTTAAAAGACAAGAAGCTGGAAATGGGAGTTGATCAAGCTTCTTGTCATGCATCCCATTGAGAGTGACGTCACCTCAACACCATCTTGGCCACTCTGAAGGATAAAGTTCACATGGGCACTAATAGTTAAAACTAGTAGAATGCATAGTTTCTTTTCCACACACCAATGTTTAACCACAATATTTCAATAGAATGTAGCATTCATGTTATAACATTTGTTTAATATAAGTCACAGTCAGTATTTTCTTGGATGGACTTTTTCTGTTGGGTTCATTTTAATTCAATAACAGAGCATCTTTGTTTAAATGTGTTTTCTTTTCCCAAGTCATTTTTTTGAAAGACTTCTGGATTGACTGAAATAAATTATTCAATTGGTGATACAAGAAAAAAAACACTCATATTTTAATTATCCTTAACGTAAAACCACGTGTCTATTTATCTGAAAGAGTCTATTTCAAGGTTAATTGAGCTTCGAGACTCTCAAGCGATTTTGACTTCTCATCAGTCCTGGTTTCGAGAGCATATATCATTATTAAATTTAAAGAATCATCTCAAATGTCTGTACATACTGTAGTCAAGCCATTCGGTGACAAGCAAGAGCATGCCAATATAAAACCAAGTTAATGTGATTTCAGGGACCCACAATGTCATCCTTTAAACTTTCCATCCTATTTTCGGCCTTAACCTTTTTCAGATTTCCGTGGTTGAATGACTAGGACTAATATGTAAGACAAATAAGAGAAAAGCGTCAGTGAGCTGTACGTAAGCATCAATTCTTGACTTATAATATTAGAATTCAAAAGACGAAGATGTAAATTTCTTGAAGAATTGGAGTTCATTAGACCAAAGCGCAGGAAGTAAACCACTCGGTCTCAAGGAAACTTCCTGCACCTATGTGGCCCCATTTTCCTGTTTTATAGTTATATTCCTACCGCAAACCAAAAGGAAGAATTAACTTTACTGTAGCATACATTTTCTGTTTTATACTCCAAAAGCAACGAAGTTCAAGGCAAAGCAAGATGAGACCACTGCAACGAACTGGTCTACCCTATCAATGCTACTTCCATTAAAATATAATAGAATCCAAAGAGGAATGAAAATTTGGGGTCTGCACTGGATGACGTTGTGATTGAGCATTAAAGACAAGGTTCTATGCTATAAAATGCCTCGGGCGCCGTTTACCACCAGTGCACCTGTAAAGGATCTCAGTCGTTTCCTGGTTTAGCTATCATCCCAGATGCTCATCCTCGTCGTCTCTCTGTTACGTTTCCTCTCACACTGCATCGCTTAACTGTGTGACTCCGTTGCTTAGTGCTATGAATCCGTCGTATTGCAGTCACTATACAGTCTTGATCCTTGCTCTCGCTCAAGAAACGACGTAGCGTTTCGAAAAATATTCTTGCATTGGTGGTGTGCGTGAGTGAGTCTCTGCGTTGTGGAGTTGGAAATCAGAACTGTGTTGCGTTTGTTCGAGACTGCCGACGCGCCTGCCAAGAGAGGGTGCTTTCCGGAGACTGTTGGCGATGAGTCTCAATGATGTATGGACTCATACTACACCATGTTTGAAGCTCTTGTTTGTTTGCATGAGGTGGTAGCTGGTCTCTTCTGGCTGGACTGGTTTCTTTATAGCTTTCGATGATCAGGCTAGTGGCTGATGACCACCGTATGAGAATGATCACAAAGATAATTAAGCATAATGTTTTTGAGCAAAGTGCTCGAAGAGTTGCACGACGTTTTTGCTTCTATAGAGGAATATTGAGTTTGTCTCTTGGAAACGCATTTCCTTATCTAACATATTCTTGCCATTGTATCGCATGGCATGATCTGTAAGCTGCAAGGCTATTTCTAAGGAAACCCATATGTAAGCTGACATGTTTTTTTCCAACATGAACAGGTGTTTGCTTTGCGCGGTGAGCCTGGGTGGATGAACCAGCGCCAAAGTCCTTACGGATTTGGAGGGAATTCACCGGTACAGTCTTAATTGCTATGCTTCTCCCTTAGTGAAAATATTTCAGCTTCACTTTGGGCTTGTACTGCGGGTCCTAGTAACTCATGATTCCGGTGACAAAATGGTTTCAACTTTGGCAAAGGAAATCATTAAGTGTCTAACAAGAGATACTCGAACCTTTTGTGCATTTTCTATATTCTAATACGGCTGTTGGTGATCACGCAGAGGACGGAAATGAGAGTCGTCATATGCTGCAACAAATGCGAGGAAAAAGTTCGGGAGGAAATCAGTGAAGTGTATGGTGAGTGCTCTGTGCGCCTTGAATTCTTGCCCTTGGCTGACTGTCAACTCGTGATGTCAGCCCGGTTTCAGTAGCAAATTGGGATCCTTATAGGTAGGCTTACACACAGGATCTGCTTGGTGTAGGTGTTGAAGAGATTTTCATAGATCCAACACGTTCGGAGGTTGTTGTATATGGCTATGCGGACAAGCACGATGTCCTGAAGAAGGCGAGGAAGATGGACAAAAGAGCGGACATAATGTCGTCCGATTCATTCACACTTCACCATGATAGACACAGTAAACATCACAAGCACCACAAAAACAGGTTCAGCAATTTCTTCGGTCAAAGCCACGGCCACAGCAACTACAGCAGAGGAAAGCACATGCCTATATTTGAAGTGACTGGTAGTCCCCGCTACAACACCAGCTTAAACCAGTCCAGCTCTTATGACAACCGCTTCAACCGCCTTGATGGTGGTTACGACATGCCCGACTACCGATCGAGGCAAACAAGAGAGTTCAGACTCGATTACAGGCCCGATCCTATGTACAGGCAGATGCACAGTGGCTACCGATCTGAGCCAGAGACAAGACATCGGTACAACGGTTATGGATCTAGCGAATACCGACACGAACACGACCACGGATATGAATACAATGGGTACAGGCCAAACCAGAGATATCCTCCGAGCTATGTTGAAAGAGAGGACCGAGACTCTCCATATCCGGAGGCCGTCATGAACCCCGCCTACATCAAGCAGATGGGCTACTACTGATTTCTAAAATTCTTCGCCATGCGAGTTTCAGAGTCTTGTACAACAGGGAAGGTGTATAAAGCGACATATATAGGGAGCACACACACACTCACACAAGAAAAGAGTTAAGAAGTTTGTGATGCTATGAGGTCCAGAACTTGCGGACAGAACAGCCATGGCAGTATTTCTTTTTTGTCTTATACTCTTATGTGCTTAGGCTGGAATATCATGCTGTCCATGAACTTAGAAAGAAAAAAATAAAATAAAAAAAAAATGTCGGATTAGGTATCCAATGGGAGGTAGAGTCCAAGTTTGTTGATTGTTTGCTCGAAGCTGGAACCTGTTACATGCCCCGAGAGGTCAAAGGTTGGCTCGGCTTCTGATTTTGTACTTGCTAACTTGAAACCATACCCGGAAATACTAAAAATTGTACATCAAGTAGGCTTCATGCATGCTGCTTCTTGAATGAAGAGTTGCTAAAGTTGATTAAGACCAGTTGCTTTTTTCTTGCGTTGCCTGCCACAAAGTGAATTTGGTTCTATCATGCTCTTTGGATGTTGAAAAGCTGTGTGATCCAGGGCTTCATTCGATTACAACCGCATGTGTTGAAGATCTTACTGATTTTATGTTGCTCATGTTCAATTCTAGTGGCCACATTCCTTGCTGGGTATTACTTTTTTCCTATTCTGGTTAAATTCTGAGTAACTCACCAACGTCACTCAGAAACCTAACGTCACTCAGAAACCTATTTATTACAACATATACATGCTACATGTACTGAATGTACTGAAGATATCTTTCCTCAACTCCATTGTACTGCTCAGATTATCTTAACAAAATTGGTCCATCTTACGTGATAAGATTATTCAGAAGTTGAAAGACCCTGAAAAGATGGACCAAATAAGAATTTTCTCTCACTCACATTTGCTGATGCAGTTATAGTAAGTCATGACTAAGTTGTGATGCCTAACGCATTTAGATTTTGCATATCATTTCCAAGTTTTATTTTATTTCTAACCATAATAAAAATACAAGGAAATGAATTGTGAAATGGTCATATACAAGGTGTTATCAAGTTGGATTTGGAATTTGATTCATGTGTCTACAATCCATATTCAAATTACAGTTTGTTCAATGAGGAGAACACTAGGAATAGATTACAAATGTGCTAGAAATTAGAAAATGAACATATTTTAGTAAACACTTGGATAACTCAAAAGCACTTGAATTAAAAAAATACACTAAAAAATATTAAAAGAATTAAAAATGCATATACATATATAGATATAAATTTGTATTCTAAATAAGAAAATTTAAAAATAAAACTTCTACATAAAGTAAAAAATATATCAAATCAAATACAATAAATATTTAAAAATAAAATAAAATAGTACTAATTTTCTTCAATTTTTTTGGTATTGCCAATTTATCTTTTATTGTGTATTTTTAATCTAAAATTTATTGTAAGTTACACATTAATAGTTTTTAAAAGAAAAATTCGAAAATATTTTATTAAGTTATTTTAGAAGGTTTACATAATAATTTAAAACTTCTTAAACTTTTCACGTACATATTGTAATTTTTAACCTATAATACTTCTTAGAGCTTTTTTCAAGCTTCAAGAACGTCTTATATAATTTTATTATTTTTTTGTTGATTCTTACAAAACTCTGGAACCTTCTATAGTCTTCTGTAAGCTTTTTTATTTTTATTTTATAATCATTTAGAATCTTTTTTTATTATTTTTAAAGTTTTTATAGAATATTTTAAGCTTTTAATATTTTTTAAACTTCTAGAGGACCTAGTTATTATGTTATAAACAAAAAGTAAGATAAAGACTATTTTAGTCTTATCAAATTTTTTCTGTTGAAGTAAAAGAAAATACACACACACAAATATATATATATATATATATATATATATATATATATTTATATTTATATCTTTTTTTTCCTCTTACATATAATCTTGTTTTAATCTAGAGGTTTTTTTTTTTCTTGTACTACTTGGTTTCTTTAATACTTGTTCTTCTTGCTTCTTTAATAATCCTATAATATATATATATATATATATATTTTTCAAGACAATAAATTAATAGACTTTCTAAAAAAGATTTTGAATTTTTTTTTCTTTTTATATATTTTTTTCAAGAATTTTAAGATAAAAATATATTATTTTTGGATCTAGTATTTAAACTAATTAAGAAATAAATTAATATCAAATTATGAATTATTTCTTAAAGTAGATGTGTTTAAATGGATTGCTGTTGAATGCAACTACTTTCATACATTTAATAAAAAGATTATTCGATGTCTAAATTATTAAAAATAAAAAAAATCTTTATACCCTAGATAAGACCTTCATCAATCAAAGATAGATATTTTATTTGAGATTTATAAATTTATTTAGGATTTTTATAAAAGATTATTATAAACTGAAGCCTTGCTAATAAAATTAATAAAATGATCATATGAAGAATAATAAATTAAAAAAATTCAAATAAATATTAATTTATTTATTTTATACAAATTTTAATTTTATTTAAAAATATAAACTCTATTTATTTAGGAAAAATTACTTTTAATTTTAAAATTTTAAAAAATATTCTAATATAAATGGTAAATTTGATCTTCTTTATAAATAATTCTCTCTGTCTCTCTCTCTCTCTCTATATATATATATATATATATATATATATTTTGCAAAGAATAATAAAATAATTTAGATCAAGGAGATTTAGAATCGATTTTAAGTTTTGAAGAATAATTTATTCATTTGAAAGACTTAATATTCAATAAAATTATATATAAATAAAATAATTTTGAATATTTTATTAATGTTCAAATCTTATATCAATAATAAATTATATATAGTATAATAAAATTTATTTTTATTTTTATTTATTATATTATATTAAATAAATAATTAAAAAAAATCATTACATAATATATTCATCTATCACTATGATAGAAGAAGATAATAGAAAGAAAAGATATAGCTAATAGGTTAAAATAAGTGAAAATAGATATTTAAAATTATATTAAATTAGAAAATACAAAACCAAGCTTAGAATACAAGAAAGGCATTGAGAAGATTAAAGATATTTCCAATCTAACCTCTTTGCATATGTTTTTAATAAATAGACTATGTAAAAGCTTTTGAAATATAATATTTAAATATATATTTAAATATTAAGTATTTTTTCAATAAAATTTGATAGAGCAAAGACTATTTTCTTATTTATTTATGATACAATAATATAAATATAATTAAATATTATCAAACTTTACTAAAAGAACAACTCTTAGTTTTCTAATTAATACAATTATATTTATGTAAATTATTTGAGAGAATACAAATATAGAAGAAGCTATGAATTTATTTAATTATTCATTCTTATTGTTTGTTGAGATGATAGGCAAAGTTGATGCATAGTAATTTTTTATTTTTATAATTATAATTTTCATCTATGCTATGAAATTTTATTATTGTTATTTATTTTGCAATTATTTAAAATTTAAAAATATTTATATACAAGTTATAATTAATATAAATTTTTATAATAAAAATAATTTTAATATTGAAGAAATTTATCTACGACTTATTAATTACTATAATATTTTTATATTTAAAAAAAAATATATAATATTTATTCGAAAAGATGAAAATTTTGATATTGTAAATGTTAGTCTTTTTAAATTCTTGAGGACATAAATCTTTATACAAATCTATGAAAAAAATATACTCATATATATTATGGACATAACTATCACTATTAATTATATTAATAAGAGAATTTAGATAGAAATAAGTAAAAGTAATAAAATTTGATAATATCTTAAAAAAAAGATTCATAGATATGGATTTGATTTTACATATGTCTCTGGATAATTAATAGGTTAAAAAATTGGTCAATAAGTTGGATACACATTACACATATTGGCTATTTGTTGCAGAAGTTGGCTATGTGATATACATATAAAACCTGTATTAGAAGTTAGACATATGTTAGAGGTCCTATAAAATAGAGAATTAAATAGCTTCTAGTTAGATAGTATATGTATAGAGGCAAGAGTGAGGCCTTCTACACTCTTATCAATGCCTTTTTTGTTTAAGGATCTTTAGTCTTCTTGTCTTTGAAAAAAGTCATTCTATTCTTAATATTATACCATCATTTAGTGCTTATCTATTCTTTTCTTGTAATACAATATTTCATTGATTTATTGGTTTTTTTTTATTTGTGTCCTTAAAAATTTAATAAGAATACTAATTCATTATTCTTGTTTTATTTTAGAAGTGAGTGGATTACATCACTTCTTTTATATGTTTTGAAGATTACAAACTATCTATCTTTATAATAATATTTTTATATTTTTATATTTTGATTATTTTTTTAAAAAAGAATAGATTATTTTTCTCTATAAAATAATTTATTGAATATTAGATATTGCTAATTAATTTCCTTTAATTTAATTTGTTGATTTGTTAAAGTTGTCTATCATAGAAATATAAGGAAAAATTATAGATGTTACACTCAACAAAAATATGAATAGATTTTCAACTATTGTAAATAATATTTTTAATATTCTTAGGACAAAAATTTCACATATTATTAATGTCAACTATGAAAGACAACAAAATTATCCAAAAACTCTCAAAAGACATCATTCATTACATATTGAGAAGGTATTGGTATATTTATAAGTTCAAAAGGTATGATATTATATTCAAAATATTTGTACCTCGTTCAAAATGAAGTCTTCTATCCATCTCTTTTTTTGATGCATATTAGATTGTATATCCCTTATGGATCTATTTTTTTTTTATAGATCTTAGCTTGATTCAATTGATCAAGAAGTCCAAATATCAAAGGTATTAGATACTTATTTTTTATATTGAACTTCTTGAATCTTTGATAATTGACACACATTCGCAATGATCTATTTTTTTTCTTTACAAATAAAATTGGACCACTTGTTAGAAATTTAGAATGGAGTATGAAATTCTTGGCCAAATTCTCTTCAATATACTCATTGAGTTTAGTCAATTTATTTTATAATAAATTATAGATTAGTCCAAATGATAGTTGAGCTTCTTCTTAAAGGTCAATTAAGCAGTCATAGAAATCGGGTTTTGAAAGAGTATTTGTATTTTTCTTCTCAAATACATTTTAAAAATCTTGATATTGGCTAGAAATTCCATTTGAATTCTTTATTCTATTAGAAATAGGTAAAGCATAAATGACACAAGGTGATCCTTCTTTTCCAGCATACAAGAAAGTTCTTACCCTTACAGAGATATGTTTGGTTATACTAAAGTTATGACTTTTTATTTGATTAACTACATTCTTACTTATACTCTCAAAAAAGCCAAGACTATAAAAAATCCAATCTATTTAAGGATTATATTTTTTTTATATAATAAACCAAAAATGAATGAATTAGAAGGAGATTTAATGATGTTAAATACCATAAAGCTACTATAACCATTAGTTACTACTTCTAAAAGAAATATTTCATAAATAATATTTCCAAAGGATAAAAAATGACTATTTATGAATTCTACATGAATAGATTTTTTTTTCTTTACTAAAAATATATTATATCTTTTAACAAACTTTTCATCTAAAAAATAAGCTGAGGCTTCCAAATCTAGTAAGGCAAAGGCTTTGTTATATTTAAGTCCTAAACTAACATCTATTGTAAAAGACAGAGAGGATTCTAAAGAAAGAATAGAACCTTCACTATGTGTTGTACTAAGTTTCAACTGTATAGTTTCTATTATAGCTGCACAAATTTTTTTAACATATTATCTTCTTTGATAGCCATACTTCTCATTTTATGATTATGTTGCTTCTTTGAATAATATTGAACAATGTGCTTTGAGACTCTAAAATATAAATATAATCCTTCTTAACAACAATAAGTCTTTTCTTACTCAATAAGAGGTTTAAAATATACCGCATCAATTTATATTTCTTCTACTTTCAAAGGTATACATTAAGAAGATATTGGTGTTTCCATTAAATTATAATAATATTTAAGGCCTACTTATGTAATTTTTAAATTAAAATTTAAAAAGTCAATTTTCATAATTTATAGAAAAATAAATTTTTTGATTCAATATTTGGAAATTAAGTAGATTGAGCATCAATTTCTTTATTTCATTTTATAATCCATAAAAAAATTTATTAATGAATGTAGCATCATCTCACTTGATATCAATCATAAGTTGTCAAAATTGTAAAGCACACAATATTATAAATTGATTTTTTTCTTGTAAAATATGGAACTTATTTGTTGCAACACAAATTGCATGTTTTTCATACATAGATCAAAATTCTATTAAAAAAGCTTCTAAATTATTTAATATTAAATTATGTTATTCAAAAAAGATAAAAAATATAATAATACTAAATCAAAAATTAGTTTTTTAATAAACTTGACTTGTGGTCTTAAAATTGGATAGCTTTGAAATTGAATTTCAATTGATAGTTGTGTTTGATTGATAAATCCTTGAAACTTTGATCTTGTACTATTAAACTTCTCAAGTAAGGCAAATCTTAAGTGTCTAGTATTTGAATGATATTCTACCATAGAAGAAAAGATATGATTTGGTATAGATGTTGAAATAGCTCCAATCATCTCTATAACTCCACTTTCCATCATTCTTATTCTTTCTTATACTGGTAAATTGAGTTAATACATTGTAAGCATTAAATTCCTCAATTATTCTTTTACTTGTGCCATTGCACTTTTCATTTCTATAAGCTTTACTTTAATAATACTTAAAAAAAAAGATATATCTAATATTACTCAAGATAAATAAAAAAATCAACTTGAAAACAAAGAAAATATTTAAAATAATATCAGTTTAGAAGAAGGTAATCTGTAAATTTTGCTACACTTATGTCTTATCAAGAGAAAGAAGTAATCCATTTTTAATCAATAAAAGACAAAGCTTTGATATTGCAAGTGTATTCTTGTCAATTTGTTAAAGATAAGAACTTAATAAAAGAAAATAAACAAGTGAAACTTTCTCAAAGAAGTATAAAAAAATAGAACTAAGAAAATATGTATATTAAAAAGAAACTAGAATGGATATTACTAAAAGATAGGAATACTAGAGACTTTTGAAAATAGACTAGAAGCAAGAAAAGAATTAACAAGAGTGAAGAAGGTTTTATTTTTGTCTCTAAATATACTATCTACCTATAAGGTACATGGCGATGTTCTATAGGACTTCAAAAAACGTGTTGACTTTACACAATACAAATTTTAACTTACAAAGTAAGTTTTTTATATGTATTCCATATAGTTAGCTTTTTTTGCAAGCTATAAACATATGTGGCATGTAGTTAGCTTGTTGACCAAGTTTCTAATCTATCAATCAATTACAAACATGTGTAAAGTCAATGTAGCATCTATGGAGCTTGTAAGAAGCTTCTTAGAAGATATTATGAAATTAATTTATTTTTACCTACTTCTACTTATTTATATTATCTAAATAACAATTATAATAAATGTATGTCCATGACAAGGATATATATTTTTTATGGTGATTTTGTTGAGTTTTTGATAATCCACACACATTTGCAAAGATCTATCTTTTTTCTTCACAATTTAGATAGGAGCTCTTTTTAGAGATTTAAAATGGCATATAAAGTTCTTAGCCAAGTTCTTCTTAATGTTTGTTTTAAGTTCAGTCAATTTATTTTGTAATAAGCTATAGATTAGTTTGAATAGTAGTTGAATTCTTTTTTGAAGATCAATTGAATAATCATACAATATAAATAGATAATATTAATAATTATATAACTTAAGTTATAAAAAAATAATCTCTAATCTTTTTTTTTTTTTAAACAAAAAATTAAAGTTTGCAATTTGTAAAACTTGACATTATTTATTTAGAATATAGAAAATTCATTTGATTTTATATTTTAAGAATAATAAAATAATTATAATTCAAAATTTATAATTAGATATAAATTTATTTATGTAATTATGAATTATAATTATAAAAATATTATATCAAATTTTATAATTTTAAATAATAGATAATTTGAGTGTTTATATAATAATGTTTTTATATAAGATAATTTCAAGTTTTTAAAGTATTTACAAAAGTGATATTTACATATTTCGTATTTATTACAATTGTTCTATTAGATAACTTTTTAGATATACTTTAATAAATTTATTTCAATGTAATTTCATTTAATGGAAATTAATAAGATACAAAAAAAATTAGCTTGTAAATTTAATTGTATATAATACTTATAAGTAAAATATAAAAGAACACACCTATTCAATAAATTAACAACCTTCAAAACATAAAACAAATATTGGATTAAACAAAAATATCCTTTACAAAATTAAAAAAATCCATAAAAAAACCAAACTAAATTCAATAAAAATTAAACTCATCAAATATTATATGAAAAAAGGCTCTTATCATTCTAAAAGAAAATAAATAGAAGCAAATAATGAATTATATAAATCATGAAATGAAGCAAAAAAAATGCACATTGGTTTGGTCTTATGTTAATTTACAAAACTGCCAATCAATCCAAATGTAATCCAAGTGTAAGTTAAATCATACAATATTAAGAATTGGGTGCAGTTCTAAGCTGATGCACATGAAGAGTCAATGTAGGGGGAAAGTGAATGTACTCAGATACTATGCTACAGGGATACATCGATAGGCCAGTAGATTCTCTACACGGATCAATCGATATGCCACCATATTTTCTACATGAATGTATTGTAAGGCCTCTTCGTTTCTGTACAATGATTCAGTTGCAGGGCCTCTTCATTTCTGTACAGTGACACAGCTTCCAAACTTCAAATTTGCCTGGTATCATCGGAATCAATCGAAACTCCACTTAAGCGTAGTCTGCATTGCCGTCAAACCTCCTCACCACTTCCAAAATGCTTGCTGCGTCATAGTTAGCATCAGGAGAAAAGCCAGTAATAATCAAAATCATCCTGTTCCTACCGTCTTTGGCTGCCCTGGGCTCTGCACCAAAGAATACGACATGATGCTCCGTCAATAAGCAGTTTGAAACAGCACTTAACAGCTTTAGATTTTGGATTTGTACACATGGAATTGAAATGATCCAAAACGAAACTCGCATCCTGCTTGTACATTCAAAACTCGGTTTCGCTACAGCACTCCGATTGAACACCTATGTCCTTCCCAAAATTTTGCTTTGCATCCTATACAAACATTGACGCCTCCATGAAATAATTTCATTTCAAACTGGCACCATTCTGATACCACTCCAACATTCATCCTGTGCTTCGAAGGTGACCTTAAAAAACAAGGTGGAATTCTCGTTTATGTGAGAAGCTGCTTGTACGTCGAAGACCTCCAATACTTTGAAAAACAAATCACTAAAACAAAGATACTATTCGTGCGGTTTTGAACTATTGAAATCATTTACAATGGATCCAGCTCGAATCAGCAATGAACGAATGAAATTCTAAAAGCCACTATCCTCATCGCTCACAGCAGCCACTTGAACTGTGGCTCTCCCTAACAGATACACTTCCTCTCGGGTCGGAAGTTTGAATTGGACCAAAGCCTACATCTCGTACGCCATGCTTCCTTCTCGACTTTCACCTTGTTTGCCCATTGAACATCGAACTGTTCGTGAGACATGACCGCACACACAGCAAGGCGCACAAGGAGTTGTTGGCAGGAGCCTTCCGAACTTTCAAAGGGTTCACAAAAGAATTGGGAACCCACCTGAGAAAAACTGCTCAGGTCGGCGATTCGACTCATACACCAGCTCAGTTAGTAGATTTGTCAGGCAGATGTCCCTGTGGAGCTGGATCCTCAGTGTACTCTGCAATCACGATGCCAACAATTGGATTAGCACTACTGGTGCCTGACATCCTATTCGGAAGCTCTCTATCGATGCTCCAAGGAGCATGCTCCTGGATCATCATAGGAGCTTGACTTCATGCTGGGATAGCGTCGTCTGAACAAGACTGACACTCTGCTAGGATCGCATCAGGTGAACAAGACCGACTACATACCCGCTCGTGCGGAAGCTCTGGGACTGGTTGTTGACGATATGACGGGCCGAAAACCTGTGATGGGGAGGAGAGGGGACACGTCAATACAAGACAAGAAAGACTTCGACAGCAACAGAAACATGGGCACACACGAAATTGTGGCATTCGCAATTCTACTGCTCAAAGCTGGAAATGCTGCAGGACGCTGGAGCGATTCAGGACGATGAAGAGCTGTGTCTCCTTACATGACGCAGATAGCCCCTCCTAGGAGCTGGTGGTGGTGCGTGAGCCATGATAGAGGAGCCCGGAGTTGCGTGAAAGCGCTTGGAGGTTAAGAAAACAATCACTCACTGGCGGGCACTTTACCAACACTACAGGACAAGTGTATCTGTGTGAGTTGCGTGGAGCTGCGTGAAAGCGCTTGGAGGTTTAGGAAACAATCACTAACTGACGGGCACTATATCACACTACCAGACAAGAGTATCTGTGTTACCCGAACGTAATGTATTTCATGACTGTCTGGGAGGACGCGTGATTGAACGAACCCGACTTTATTTCTTTCCTCCCCCGGCGCATTGCAGACGCGGTCCAGACAAAGCGTTAATGAAAAACAAAAAACAAATTACAAAATATATATATATATATATATATATATATATATATTTTACGACACGACGTTACGCTTGATCTCGATGTTTCATCGGCAAGCCAGCGGGGCGCGCACAGCGTGTGCACCGAAACCTGCATGAACGGTACTCGCAGCGGACCCGGAAAGAAGCTGCGACGGCAACCACCGAATCGCGACGCTGTGATACGCCCTCAAGCCGCGTCTGCAGCCCGAGCCTGAGGGGGCGTTGGATCCCCGAAGGTCGTGCATGCCGAGATCCAGCAACGTGGTGGACGTTGCCTAATCGTAACTCATACGACACACCCGAGCCCGCCCAGTTGCGCTACGCTGGTCACAGATTTTGGGTATCAGCGTCTTCCAGCGTGGGAACCAACCTCCAAATGCGGCAGTCGGTGAGAGTGTCTGCAGCTAGTGTCGGCTCTAGCTGCAGACATCAGACATGAGACAACGATCGCAGCTCGCGCATCGCGTTCCGGGTTCGGCTGCATGGTGTGGGTCGGCCATGCATCGACGTTGTCGCCGCGGTGGCGAGCTCTGGTCGATGTCGCGCCGGATGGGACGACGATAGCGTGGCGACTGTTTCCAACGCCGCAGCAAATGGAAACTCTTACGGTTTGAGTGTCGGTGGTTGTGCTCTCAAAGTTTTTCGGAGAGAAGAAGGGACCACTTCCAGAAATCTTACAACAGTTTAGTAATGATGGATGTCCGTGATGTCATTTTACCCAATTCATTCCACTCCAAATGTGTTTCTGGTCATGGACGGAGGTGTGATGCAAGTCACATTGGCAACTGTTGATGATTTTCTCGGATTTTGCCAATTTATGCTACTGCATCTTCGTTGGGTCAATTCTTCGTTGTAGAATAGAACAAAAGAAAAGCACAAGAATTGTGTTTTTTACATTGGCAATTGTTGAAAGTTTTTCTTTTTGCATTGTGTCAATTTTTGTTGTGGCATGTTCTTTAGGTCAATTCTTTACTGTAGAATATAACAAAAAAAGACAAGAAATGCCATACATCTACATGTCTCTTGAAAACCCTCATTTTTGCATTATTATATTTTATGCTATGGCATGTTGTCTAAGTCAATTCTCTATTGTAGAGAAGAACAAAATATGACAAGAATTGTTTTCTACATATGAACAACTATTGAAAGTCATTTTTTTTTGCATTGTGCCAATTTTTGTTTGAGCATGCTCTTTATGTCAATTCTCTATTATAGAACCAATTTGAAGAAGAAATGAATTTTCTTCTAAAAAGACTTATTTTGTGAATTGTTTTCAATTAAATATGGATGTTGATGAGTAAAATTTACATAAAGTCTTATTTGTCATACACTACCAAGAGAGGTATATATTGGTAAGGAAGGTAATTATGGAACTTGATTTATGTATGATCATTGTATAAATAGTTAGCATTAGAAGTTTTTTCTTAATCAAAAATTATAACAAGTTGATTTCTAATTGGTGGAACTTGACAAGGATTCAATGTTACTTAAAGAAGCATTATTTTTTTATAATTAAATTAAGTTATGATTAACTCAATGTGGCTTTTTTGACATCCACATAAAGATTAAGCTATATATTTCAAATGGCAAACACTAAATACCATAAAAGGCTATATGATGAATATGTTCTTGCATATATATATATATATATATATATATGCTAAGTTTTAGATTATATATATACATGTTTGTATTCTTTAGAGTAACCATATTAAGGATGTATTTGAATCATGCTCTTTACTCAACAAAAGAATCCATCATATACATTAGTCGCATGTTTCATGTCCTAAGGTCTTATTTTTACTTTAGTTTGCTACTTGTCTTTATTAAGTATCAATATAAGATTTTTTAGTTAACTTCTACTGAAAGTTATTTTTTACTTTTATATTATAATTCCTATAATATTATTTTTTCTTATATGCTTTGTCTTATTTTGTTTATGAATCTACAAAGATAATAGAGACTTTTTTATTTTTATAATGTGGTAAAAATAATACTAAATTATATTTTTATTACTTCTTTATTTTTTTCTATTTTTCTCTAAAGTAAATTTTTTCTATATTTTTAATTAAACTCTTCTATAATATAATGTTTTTTTCTATTATCCAATAGCCATGTTATAAGTTAACTTATATGATATATTTCTTTTTTAATTTTCACCTTTTTTGTTTGTTTTTACATATATATAAGTTAAAAAGTATTATCTTTTTTTGTATTATGGACATTATCAATACTAATAATTATTTAAATAAGAAGAATTAAGAAGAAGTAAATAAAACTTAATAAATTTGATAATATCTTATGAAGAAGTTTTTTAGAAGCTTCATAGATATAGAATTGTTTTTATATATCTTTGTGGGTGATTGGTAGGTTAAAAACTTGGCCAACAAGTTGGCCATGTGGTGCACAAATAAGAAACTTATCTTACAAGTTAAACATACATTGAAGATCTTATAAAACATTTTCATGTAGATCTTAATTTTTCAATATTTATGGAAATAAGAGTGAACTCTTCTTCACTCTTGTCAATGCCTTTGTTGGTTTTAATCATATTTCAAGAGTTTGTAGTCTTTTTTTCTTTAATAATAGCCATTTTAGTTTTAGTAATATGTTATTTTTGAGTAATTATCTATTCTTTTTTAATGACAAAAGCATGTATTAATTCTTTGGTTGCTTGTAATTCTTGTTCTTGAAACCTTGAGAATGGTGCTAATTCACTATTCTTATTTTGTTTTAGAAGTAAGTGAATTACTCTACTTCTTTTGTTGTGCTTAAAAAGTTGCAAACTATCTACCATCAAACTAGCATCTTTAATTATCTAATATTTATTCTTTCCTTTAAAAAAATAGACTATCCATCTTTGTGGAAATTTTTAATTGATATTCTTTCAAAGCATTATTCTTATGATTTTTCAATTAATCTTCAAGAAAGAACTTGATTTCTATTTGGATAAATTTATAGCTTATTACAAAAAAAGTTGGCTATATTCAAGGAGTATATTGATGAAAATTTGGCCTAAGATTTTATTTTTTATTCAAAATTTTAAATAGAAGTTCATATTTGTTTTAGAAGAAAAAAAACAAAAACAAAAAAAACACTATGAATGCATTTAGTATAAGTATCTTCTATTTTTGATGCCAAGAATTTTAAATCTATTAAATCAAGCCAAGTTCTATATAAAAATATATCTACAAAGAACGTAAAATTTAGTACATATTTAAAAAATAAAAATAAAAAATAAAAAATAAAAAATAATAGACTATGTTTTAAATTTAAAATATGTATTTTAAATATAATATCATGTCTTTAAGACTCACAAGTATATTAGCTACTTTTAAACATATAATTGATATTATTTTTCAATAATTTTTAGATAATTTTTTTGTCTATCATCTAAATATTTTAATTTACTCTAAGAATATTAAAATGCATAAATTTTATTTTTATCATATATTTCAAAAACTTAAAGATGTAAGATTATATGTCAAGATAAAAAGTGTATAATTTATACTACTCAAGTTGTCTTTTTAAAATATATCATTTCAAATGATGGACTTAAAAAAAATTATATTATTATAGATTAGGAGATTACAAGAATAATAAGAGATATCTAATATTTTTTTGAGATTTATCAATTACTATTGGATCTTTATCAAGAATTTTCTTAAGTTACAATTCCACTTATATGTTTTATTTGTAAAAATATACTTCAGAGAAATAAAGAAGTAGAAGCAATATTTGAAGTTTTAAAAAAATATTTTATTACCACTCTAATTTTGTATTAGATTAGTTTTTTTAAGCCAAATTACATAGAAAAAAATGCATCAAACTTTATCTTATATGTAGTATTATCATAAATGGAAGTAGATTAAAAAATTCATCCAATACCTCTTCATTTGAAAAAAATTTCAACAATAAAGATCAACTACAAGATCTATAACAAAGAACTTGTTGCAATAATAGATTTATATTAAGAATGGCACTATTATTTAGAAGATACTTCAAGTCTAGTGATTGTTTATATGGATTACAAGAACCTCAAATATTTCATATTCATACAAATTTTAAATTATCACCAGGCTTGTTGGAACATGACTTTATTAAGATTTGAATTCAAGATCATATATTAATTAAAAAAACAGCAAAGTTTGTAAAATGAACTTTTTAGGCATTCTTATCTTGTACCAAAAAAAAGAAATATAACTTTTAATCAATAACAAATAATTCTCTTAAAGCCAAGGTAATTTTATCTTTAAGCAATGAAATCAACATTGACTATTGTTTAATTTTTTTAATCAAGTTTAATTAAGTATGTTCTTAGATCTTCTTATTCATGATATGAAAAATAATCCTTTTAAATCTCATTATAATTATTAGTTGGAATTCTCAAATAATCTTTTCTATTTTAAGGGATGCTTATATATTCTAGGAGATAAAGCATAATTTTGTACTCTTTAAGTTTGTCACAATTTCTTTGCTATATGACATTTTGGATATAAAAAGATCATAGAGTTAATATCAAGAGATTTTTGGTGGCCTTTAATGTGAAAAGAAATTTATAAATTTATAAAAAATGTGATTTTTTTTCAAGATCAAATATTCTTTATCATCAATCTTATAAACTTCATCAATTATTACATATATCAAAACAACCATGGTATTTTATTTCTATGGATTTTATCATGGATTTTTCAATCTCAAGTTATTATTATTCTATATTTATAATAATAAATTATTTTATCAAAATATCATATTCTATATTATATAAAAAAAGCTATTATAAATAAACAAATAACTAAAAAAATCCTTAAAAATATTTTTTGCTAT